TCATCGCAGTAGAAATGGTTGATGACATTTGCAGAACAGAAAGACAATCGGAATGTAACTATGGTGTGGAACAGGGCAACTGAAAAGCTGTATATATAAGGTGCAGCTACTAACCGGATGCAGACTCTCTGGGACATGATGGATTGATAAAGCAGTGGGTTACAGATGGCTACATAGCGGTCATAGGCCATCACTGCCAGGAGGAAGCACTCTGTGATCATGAAAGTCAGGAAAGAACCCAGCTGGGCTGCACAAGCATGGAATGAAATGGTTTTCTTAACTGCTAAGAAGTTTGCCAGCATTTTGGGGGCAATAACAGAGGAATAGCAGAGATCAACAAATGCCAGGTGGGTGAGGAAGAAGTACATAGGGCTATGTAGCTGCCTGTCAGTCTGAATTAAAAGGATTATGCCCAGATTTCCCATCAGAGTGATACTGTAGTTCAGGAGGAAGATGGCAAAGAGCGGCATCTGCAGCTCAGGGCGATCAGTGATTCCAAATAAAATGAACTCCTTCACTCTACTCGCAGTTGAGTTGGTATCTGCCATTTATTCCATCACCTCAGTACTCAAGACACGGGTGAAGAAGGAATACAATTTCTTCCTTAACGTTCTATCTGTTCAGAGGGTTCTCACGCTCATAGATGATCAATCCTCTTGGCACTATTTTTATTTGAAATTCGGACACTGCATTGTCCAGGCTACTGGTATAGACATATGCATATCAGTTTATCTGTACCATCCGAAAGGACTCTAGAGCAATATCATGAAGATTTGTGTGCATTAAAAAGTGATTATATATATCAGTTGTGTACCACAACAATACTAAGAAGATAGCTTATGCTCAATAAAAACATCTCAGCCCGGCTTGGATAGCTGGGCAAACTTAGGTTCCAGCTATCAAACCACGGTGCACACTGGCATTTTATCTTAGAAAGAAAGCGAGCATCAACACACACACACACACACACACAAAGTCACAGATAATATTGGATGGAAGAGGAAAGCTGAATATATCAGATGTAATGAAGAGCTCAGAATTGGTCAAGACTGAA